GTACAAGGCTGATCCTTGATCTTGCTCACTTCCCAGTTCTTAATGAATAATGATGAGATACCAAAATAAACCAAATGGAATTCGTTTTGGAACTGATTGTTATTAAAAACTTATTGAGTTATATACAAATTTACAATATAAATAAAACAGTAGTTCTAAACATTTAAAGATAAAACAATATATAAATTAAATAACAACAACAAAAACACATGGTTCTTTGTTGTGGAACTGCTGGTTGCCGTAATTGGTGCACTGCTGCGTAAGGTGTTCTCGTTTAATTACCTGCTGCTAAACGCAACTTTGCACATTCCTGCATTTTTGATAGTAACCTTTTTTAAACTAAAATTCTATTATTAATTTTTTCTGTTTAATTTTTAATTAAACAATAACATTTCATGCAATTTTTAGATTACACAGTTCGGCTACCCTTAAAAAGGTGTACATCTCAAACTTAAATAAACCGTTTCCGAGATATTCGAGATTACAATAATTGTTATATCGCATTATTTAAAAGGATTAAATGGTATATGATAACAAATTTTATTTTTTAATTAAAAAAACTAAAAAGAGCATTCCATGAGCCTCGGGACTTTTTGCCCTGGCCGTCACATTAAAAAAATTGTAGTTTTTCAATTAAAAAATTTGGCATCAAATACCTCGTCATATACCTTCTAGTCCTTTAATGCGATATAACAATTATTGTAATCTCGAATATCTCGGAAACGGTTTATTTTATCGAAATTTGAGAGGTACACCTTTTTAATAGTAACCGAACTGAGTAATCAAAAAATTGCTTCAAATGGTATAAAAACCTAACCTCAAAGTTTGTATGGGACAATAAGCTTAAGCAACCCCTGTTTCTACGACACTGTGTTTACTGGAACAATTGTAATTATGTGTGAATATGTGTTTTGGTAGTAGTAAGTGATTGTTCGCAAAATATCACCTTTCCAAGTCTACCACAGTAGAAGTTATATTAAAAAAACTGATATGATAAGTAACATTTTATCACCTTGTATCTTTTAAACTTACGTAATTAGGAAAAATATTTATTTAGATTTTCGTCTTATTTTGATTTGCTTAATCTGCTCCTAAATTTATGCCACTAAGTTTAGGGGCACCTTGTATATCCACTTATATTTATATAGGGTGTCCCAAATTGGTTGTTCGTATAGGCTATCTCAGTAAATATAAATGCTAGAAAAAATTCGACCACGCATCCCCGTCGTCTTTTTTATAGATACATCGGTTGATGTCTTTGAATTTTCTCGATTCGCTACAAATGCATGTAGCTTCGTTAATATTTGAGTTACGAATACTGGTTTAAAATATTATGTAGGTACTTTTTGTCATAGAATTCATTAGTGTAGACCGATTTTTTTAGCTCTTTTAGGTTAAGAGATATGACCCTATACGGACAACCAATTTGGGACACCCTGTACAGTGTCCAAAATTACTTAATTTTCCATAATATGCATTTTTCATATTATTGTAAATATATTGTAATAGTGTGCTTTCTCTTTTTCCTGTTGGCTATATGAAATTACAGAATTCCCGTCACTATATATTTATTAGGGTGTTCTACTATTCTTTTTTTTAGACTAATGATATCGAAAAAGTTTAAAAAGTTTTGAAAAAAAATATTTTATGTCATATTAAGCTTGCTATCCTTACCACTTCACCATACATCATAATATGATAATAATATAATAATATATAATATTATGATAATAATATATTATATCCCGGGGCAGTTCATTTCCAACAAAAATATGTACTACTTATTTTAAAATCAACTATTCTGCAAGTTAAAAAATTTAAAAAAAATTGTTGTTTAAAATTTTTTGAATGGATAGGTTTGCGAAAAAAACATTGTAGAGCATTTAATTCTTTATTAAAATAGTTATAGGGCTCAGCTTTATATTAATTTATTGGCGAGATACAAAATGTTTTTCATTGTTTCAAAATAATCAACTATTTTTTTCCTTAGATATATCGAAAATATTGTTGAAAATGAGAAAAAAGATATTAGGAGGTGCCGCATCGCAAATTTCAATTTTCCATTTGATTAACATGAGGAAAACCTTTTGTTGCACTTTGGAATTTTTTAACTCATTAACGGATAGTCACATTCATAAGGCTGTAGAATATCCTTGTAGGGAATTGAACGCTCTACAAAAAAGGACTATAGCAGTTTTTTTTTCAATTTTATAATCAATTAAAAGTCAATTATTTGGAAAATTTCATATTATAATGCGAATAACTTACGACTCTTAAATTTAAAAAAAAAATACAAAATATCCTTATAGCTTATACAAAATTAAATGATCTACAAAAAAGGTCGGATTACATTTTTTGATAAAACTAATAGTTTCGTCAGAAAACTATAAAAATGTTGAAATTTATGACTTCCAACTTTAACCCCGTATAGTAGGTACTCTTTAAAAATGAAATAGGAAAAATTTTACTATTTGAATTAGTACCAGCATTTTTTACTAATAAAATAGTCGTTTTCACTTTTAAATAGTTATTTTTTACTACCTAAATAAACTGCGCACCAGTCAATGTGTCGCGACCAAAAATTTCGTCCTTTTTCAAAACGACATAACTTTTTTGTTTCTTGAACGATTTTATTTTGGTTTGTGATGTCTGCTAGCCTCATTCTCTGGCAATTCATGATATAGATATGAAGCTCACGGTTTTTTAAGTAAATTTACTACAGGGTGATATGTAAAACAGTGAAAAATTTCAATAACTTCATCCAAGCCCCGTTTGTAAAATTAATATTTTTTTCTCGTTTGTACTTTGAAATTATTAAGTATTATGTCTCACCTTGAAACATTTTTCAAATTTTTCGAATTGGAATCTTAACAACAAAAATATGATTTTTTTTCAAAAGAGTACATTTGATGCTTTTTTGTAGGCAATACACTGAGCCTTTTTAAGATAAAAAAGATAAGATGGTGAAAGATTGTTCCTTAAATAATTCTGAACAAGCGACAAGCAACAAACTTTCATTAATTTCAGAGGAATCTAAGCAAAGACCACTTTTTTAAAATGACATTATGGAGAAAATTTTCGAAAACTAAACCTGAACCGATATTTACGTTTGTGACATGTTTGCTTTATAATTTTGACCTCCTGATATGATTCAGTTGTCAAATTTAAGTTTTAGATGAAACCAAAATCAACAAGAATCAAAATTCGAAAACAATTCCCGGCTGTTAAATGTCTCAATAACATGCCTTTGCCAATGCCATTTGGGGATTCATTTTTGTTTGAGTGGTTAGGATAATGTTACATAAATTACATTTAAATTGCGCACTAGTGATAACTTATTACTGATAAGTACCTACCTAATTGGTAATAAATTGTATGCAAAGATATAATCATAATAAAAACTACAACATTAAACAGAAAAATGTAACAAACAATAACAATAATAACTTTCAATATTTCGTTGGCCCTCCCCTAACCCGTAATAATTCGTTAACCCTCCTGAGCATTTCCTAGACCAAGTTCCTTAGAAATTTCTGGGGTATGGCTTCCCATTCTTCCTAAATCGAATTTACCAATTCATCCAAATTTTTCATGCGTCCCTCTCTTTCATCTTTAGTTTCATCCTGCTACACACATGCTCAATAGGATTCATATCCGAAGACAAAGGTGGCCAATTCATTCTCTCAATATCATGGTCCCTTAAATACTCATTTACGATATAAGCGCGATGCGGACGGGCATTGTCGTCCACCAACACCAAATTATTGGCATTTAATTTTTATCATTTGATCCTTGATTTGATTATTCAGTGACATGATAATAACGTACTAAAAATGCAAAACACAGTAAAAAAAACCGTAAAATCCAGCAATAAGATTTTAATGAGACATTTATCATCCAGGAATTGTTTTCGAATTTTGATTCTTGGTGATTTTGGTTTTATCTGAAACCTAAATTTGACAACTGAATCACAATCAGGTCAAAATTATGAAGAAAACATGTCACGAACGTATATATCGGTTCAGGTTTTATTTTCGAAAATTTTCACCAAAATGTAATTTTGAAAAAGTGGTCTTTGCTTAGGTTCCTCTGAAAATAATGGAAGTTTGTTGCTTGTCGCTTGTTCAGAATTATTCAAGGAATAATCTTTCACCATCTTATCTTTTTGTTCTTAAAAAGGCTGAGTGTATTGTCTAAAAAAAAGCTTAAAATGTACTCCATTGAAAAAAAATCATATTTTTGTTGCTAAGATTCCAATTCGAAAAATTTGAAAAACGTTTCAAGGTAAGACATAATACTTCATTATTTCAAAGTAAAACCGAGAAAAAATATTTATTTTACAAACGGGGCTTGGATGAAGTTATTGAAATTTTTCACTGTTTTACATATCACCCTGTAGTAAATTTACTTGAAGAACCGTGAGCTTTATATAGCATGAATTGCCAGAGAATGGGGCTAGCAGACATCACAAACCAAAATAAAATCGTTCAAGAAATAAAAAAGTTATGTCGTTTTGAAAATGGACGAAATTTTTGGTCGCGACACATTGAGTGATGGCGCAGTTTAGTTAAAGTTTGACTAATTTAAGATTAGTCACCATCTTTGACTAAATATTTGTGAGAGTTAAAAGTAACTTAAGTAAGTAAGTATTATTTGAATTAAATGCATATACCTAAGCTCCATGGTTAAATGACCCATAAAAACAAATAAAGATGCAAACAGTTTAGCTCAAAATAGCAACACAAATAATATATTCAACTTTAAAATATTAAGAACAATATTTATTGACAAATAAAATTGATTTGTATAAGAGCGACTATTGGCCAAATGGGTTATGACAATAGCTTGACAAGTGACAGACTAATTATTAGTGACTGCTTTTACGCTATGACAATTAGTCAAATATGACTTATAATTAATTATTTTTGACTAATTCATTTTAAGAGAGTATACCTATATATATATTAAACGTTATTGGTCATGACTTTTTTTTATTTTAGGGATCTCTCCGATGTTTTCCAAAATGACCTAAACGACAAAGAATTCCTGAACGAAGTTCTATTCACCAAACCCATTGCATCTATACCAAAATACGAATGTGGCTTGTCGTCGTCAAAAGCGGAATATCCATGGACAGCGTCAATCCAATACAAAGAAAGCAACGAGAAATCTCGTTACCTGTGCCAGGCCACGTTAATCACACCTAAGCACGTCATTACCGCTGCTCATTGCGTGACGTACCGCGAAAGTGCAGGGCGATTGTCACCCGGCCTATTGAGCGTATCATTCGAACAATCTAAGCCCAGACAGGAATCGGGCGTGGTTGGCATTAACGTGCATCCTGGCTATAAATTTACAAACCTTTTAAACGATGTCGCGATCGTCGAGCTAAGTGCACCTGTTGCCATCGACGATTTCGTACGGCCAATTTGCCTTGGTGAGTCGCTTGACGTCGCAAAAAATGTGGTAGTCGGATATACCTTGGATAAAGTAATCCCAAACGAGATTAAATCTTCGGATCTCAAGGAAATTAGCGCCGTTGAATGCGAAAAGAGGCTGAGACAATGGAGTCCTCTTATTGGCGATAACAGCTTATGTGCTACCTATAAATCAGGTAAATTTTTAGCATTTTATTGGCTTTGAACTTTATTTGTTATCTTTAAACCAGATAATCATAATTTTGTTTTGTTTTTATATCCACAAGGTTATAGTAAATAAATAAATGCTTTTATTTGCAAAATGTTTCACAAATATATAAAAATCTATGAACTTATACATAAATAAACATAACATAACAGTCTGTCAAAGGCAGAGTTCAGACTGAATCGTCCAGTGGCGGCCCGTCAGGGGAGGCAGGTGAGTCAGTGCCTCATCATAGAGAATTAAAAAATTAAGTATAATTTAAATATTTTACTTTCTATAATATACTATAAATTTTTAATATTTGGATTACATGAATTGTGAAATAGTCAATAAAATTGATTGATTTTATACGTGGAATACCCAGCAACATTTAAATTATTTGACTTTGAAACGATCGCAATTTTAACTAATATTTATAGCTAGATGATTGGCTTAGAAGCATGCCTGAACTAATCTAGACTCACGATTGGCGTTAGCCTTGTTGTCTCGTTCTATTACAATGCGATATCATAGTTGTCTCCTTCTCTCGTATTAGCATACGTGAGGCAGGCACGCCTACATCCAAGGAAATAAGGAAGTGTTGTGGCAACACTGTTGCGGAATTTTAGATAAATTATACTTCACACGTTTTTCAAAATTCAATAATAAATGGTATTATTTTTCTTATAATAAATCGATTTACTCGAAATCATATTTCTATTCTAAAATAAACATATTTTAACACTATCGCCATCTTGTAGCCATCACAGTAACCAATAGAATAAATACAGATTCCTTATTTAGGTTTGTTTTGGTTATAAAATTCTGAACTGGTTAAAGAACAAATCTGTGGTTATTTACGCAATATTTTGTTTATTCTTTTTCTATGAGTTTGTCTATTTTATGATTCTTTTGTAAGTGGTTTATTCTGTGGGTTTAGTTAATTGAACTTGGTGATTTATGTGAATTTAGTCATTATGGATATTACGGTGAAAAATTGTACCGATATTGTTGACTTGGTGTACTATTATTAATTTAAGGATTAGGGCTTAAACCTAATGGTTATATTAATAATGCTGCACTTTACCTCTACACCTTCACGTGGTTCTTGCTAAACAATGAAATATTAATTAGACAAAAATGAGGTTTATTTAAAATAAACGTCATTTTTACAATAACATTGACAAAGTAGAGGATTTATTCCCCACCACAGTCTAAGTTTTTTACTTAGTTTTAAGTATACTCGTAGGTTGTGAACTGCGACGTCAGTTTTTTTAGGTTGGGTTTAAAAAAATTGCTTCGCCATTAAATGAGGGCGAAACCCTGCCTCTGTCTCACCAAAATGAAATGTCACGGGCCGCCACTGGAATCGTCTGCTCTTTCAGTCACTTACTTAACATTCCATTAATTCTAGAAGATATTTGGGATGTTAATGTAACTTTTTGTAAACTTAAATTGGTAAAATGGTAACCATATTGTATTTTTTCTCTTTTATTAGATCTTTTATTACAAGACACGCTATTTTCAACTTCAACTGCGAAAACGAACCAAGTCAAAAACTTTAAGTTTTTCAGAAATTGGGATTTAAGTTTCATGTTTATTTTTTAATTATCTTGGTTTAAAACAGTGTTTACGAAACATAAAAACCTGATTTTATAAAAGCTTTCAACGTATAACTATACTTAGTTTTAATTTTTTTAGAATGTTTTACTAATAGAGCTGTACAGGATTAATATACAGGGTGTCCCAGAACTCGCGCCACAGAGAAAAAGGGGGCGTGCCGATAGCAATGGAGATGCCAAATTTAAAAATAAAAAATTTCTAGGTAATAGTGTAATCGAATGAGAGCAAAAAAGCGGCAGCCAATACCGAGAGCTCTCGCCTAGGTTAAACGTAAGAGCTTTAAAAAATGCTAGGAGACGATAGAACATTGTTGTATTAAAAACATTTAAAAATCTTTTGGCCAACTGTATTTACTAAGTTGTCAAAAGCTTTCAAAAATTAGGTTATTAATCTATGACTTATACTTCAGAACGCCAATGTTTTAAAATAACGATTAGGAAAGGGCTGGGAAAAAACTCGCGTTGTCTCCCTGGCGTTGCGCCCACACTAAATGAATAAATAATTATCATTTCAGTATAATCATCTAAGGAAAACATTATTTATAATAACTTAATGTATAACCTAATATAATATTAATGACAGGAGTTTGACAGCAGTGTCACAATGAATTGGATTCCAGTGGACCAAATATTTTACATATTTTTTATTATCAACAATGCAACCTAAGTATCCTAGCAATTTAAAGAATTTCCTATGGCCATCTATTGGGATTGGCTATCGTTTTTTATTCTTATCTCGCTTATCTTTTGCGTTAGACAATTTTAATTTTCAAATATGTGTTTCACGTTACTTTCGGCACGTTCCGGTTTTCTATGTGGCGCGAGTTCTGGGACACCCTGTATAACCAACCAAATTTACAAGAGAAGATAGGAAATACCATAAATAGGACATTTTTATTTAAAAATCCTTTTTTATGGCTAAGAAATCAGTTTTTAACTGGTGCCGCTAGTCCATATAATTTGTATCCAATTCCGTTTTACAGCACATACATTTTACTTTAAATACTTTTTTGTGTGCTTTTGTTTGCAAGTTGGCTGCAGAATATAAAAATTTAGATACTCTTAAAAAAATATCGATAGAATGCACCATTTTGAATAAAATAAAAGAAAAAATAAAAAAAATCTTTTTTCTTTTTCAATTTAGTATATTTAACAAGAAATATTAATAACAAATACATATGTTTCCCAAAAATACATTAGTTTTCCTTAAATCGTTTTAAAAATAATAATAATAATAATAAAAAAGCATCTTTAGGGGAGCCATTTGCCATTTCAAATGGCAAATGGCCCATTTGCCGTCCTATGTTTATATAACGTTATTTTTCCATTTTTGTCCCCTAAACCGCTTGTAGAGTATTTCACACTAATTTCTGGACACTCTGTATATAGATATATACATTGTATCCCCGGATAAAACGACTTTTAAAAGATAATGTAAAGTGTTCTTGATTTAAATTTTCATGTTTTGGGATTAAACCATTCTCGGTTAAAGACTAAATATATGTTGCCCTGGACAAATGCCCTGCTTTCCCCCTTCCCATATAGACCCGATATGTGTAGCCCCTAAAAATAATTTTTTACTTTCTAAATCACAAATATAAAACCGTCAGGTCTAACTGCTACTATGTTTTAAATTATTTATAAATAATTGTATTAAAAACATTTAAAAATCTTTTGGCCAACTGTATTTACTAAGTTGTCAAAAGCTTTCAAAAATTAGGTTATTAATCTATGACTTATACTTCAGAACGCCAATGTTTTAAAATAACGATTAGGAAAGGGCTGGGAAAAAACTCGCGTTGTCTCCCTGGCGTTGCGCCCACACTAAATGAATAAATAATTATCATTTCAGTATAATCATCTAAGGAAAACATTATTTATAATAACTTAATGTATAACCTAATATAATATTAATGACAGGAGTTTGACAGCAGTGTCACAATGAATTGGATTCCAGTGGACCAAATATTTTACATATTTTTTATTATCAACAATGCAACCTAATTAGATACTTAAGTATCCTAGCAATTTAAAGAATTTCCTATGGCCATCTATTGGGATTGGCTATCGTTTTTTATTCTTATCTCGCTTATCCTTTGCGTTAGACAATTTTAATTTTCAAATATGTGTTTCACGTTACTTTCGGCACGTTCCGGTTTTCTATGTGGCGCGAGTTCTGGGACACCCTGTATAACCAACCAAATTTACAAGAGAAGATAGGAAATACCATAAATAGGACATTTTTATTTAAAAATCCTTTTTTATGGCTAAGAAATCAGTTTTTAACTGGTGCCGCTAGTCCATATAATTTGTATCCAATTTCGTTTTACAGCACATACATTTTACTTTAAATACTTTTTTGTGTGCTTTTGTTTGCAAGTTGGCTGCAGAATATAAAAATTTAGATACTCTTAAAAAAATATCGATAGAATGCACCATTTTGAATAAAATAAAAGAAAAAATAAAAAAAATCTTTTTTCTTTTTCAATTTAGTATATTTAACAAGAAATATTAATAACAAATACATATGTTTCCCAAAAATACATTAGTTTTCCTTAAACCGTTTTAAAAATAATAATAATAATAATAAAAAAGCATCTTTAGGGGAGCCATTTGCCATTTCAAATGGCAAATGGCCCATTTGCCGTCCTATGTTTATATAACGTTATTTTCCCATTTTTGTCCCCTAAACCGCTTGTAGAGTATTTCACACTAATTTCGGGACACTCTGTATATAGATATATACATTGTATCCCCGGATAAAACGACTTTTAAAAGATAATGTAAAGTGTTCTTGATTTAAATTTTCATGTTTTGGGATTAAACCATTCTCGGTTAAAGACTAAATATATGTTGCCCTGGACAAATGCCCTGCTTTCCCCCTTCCCATATAGACCCGATATGTGTAGCCCCTAAAAATAATTTTTTACTTTCTAAATCACAAATATAAAACCGTCAGGTCTAACTGCTACTATGTTTTAAATTATTTATAAATAATTGTTGTAACAAACGATTTTTCACCCTTTGGTGAATATTGTAAAATGACCCATCGCATAAAATGACGTAATATTCTTCTTCTAAATTGTTTACTATGAGCAATGACCTTCTTTATTGACAACGACATTGCTTTCCTTCTTGCTTTAATATAAAATTTTAGTCTACATATTTAAAGTTATAATTTTTAAAATAAACTTTCGCAAAATACATCGTACAGATCGCAGAAGATGAGTTGTTTACTTTGTAATAGAACAGGTCATGAAAATGCTTATTAACTGAAAATCTACTTGTCAAAAGAATATTTTTTTATATTATATACGCTAAAGAAGCATCGCTAGAATTTAGCTTTAAATAAGCAGCTGTCAAAAGCGTA